TCGACCGTGAGTGCTACCAACTGTAGGGAGTTGATAGCGCAGAGGAAATTTGGAAGTGATTCAATTGTCATCGTTATATCGTTATAGCTAAAGATCGCTATGCAGTACTCACGCGACCGTGTCGCGGATGCGGCTAGCTGCCGACTTCTACAGACCACGCACACTCGACGTCGCGACATCATCAGTTAGGTATTTAGTCGCTACAGTGGGTTTTACAGATCTCCCCCAAGATTTGCTCCTGTGGTACGACATAAATCTTTCAAGGAAGACCACAAAATATGGACAACAGAAATATAGAAATTCAAGGTTCAATTTAGCAGCAATCCAAGCAAGTGCCCTGAGTTGATGCGAAGAGACCCGAGGAGATCCATTAACGTCTTTCGAGGTACCATACCTGTATGATTCCAACAATTCCGGATTGTGAATAGCTTAACGTTATCCCAGGCTTCGGCAGACCACTTCATTACTATGAGTACATCAACGGCATACAGTTTCTTGCCGCTCTCGGTAGCCTTGTCAATCATCCCAATGACATGATCCATTTGACAACGTTTGTAGTGGCGCTTGAGCGATGATACCAGCGTCCACGGGTTGCAGGAAGGCAGTCGTGTTCGGGAGCAGCATCATGAGCTCCAAGTTGGTAAGTGATACTTGATGACGCATTGTCCAATATCAACAGGACAGCTATGTTCTCCGATGCCATCAAGGCATGAAGTCGATGATCCAGTCGGCGAAGAGGGGCATTGACATCCATGCTTTGCGGTTTGAATGGTAAAGTTCTTCAAAGTCTTGGCATGCCAAATTGCCAAAGCAGCGTGGCCTTTTTGATTTCCCAATGAACGTTGGAGGAAACATGTGCGAACCAATGGCGTTGGTGGCCAAGACAACTGAGATTCGGCTCTTGTCTTGCTTTCGTTCGGGCCTTGGCTTGTCCAAGATTGTGGTCTTCGGTACACCATTGTAAAACAATCCTGTCTCATCCATGTTATAGACATCAACTGGGCTATACAGCTCAACCGTTTGCCTCAGTGCGGCTCTACCGTCATTGACGGTGGATTTGTTTGCAGCTAATGCCTCGCCGTGCAGCCGATATATCTGAAGATGGTTTCGAGATCGATATCGGTACAGCCACCCTTTTAAGCACTTGAGTCGGTTTTGTAGGTTATCAATTTTTTGTAAGTTCATTCTTGCGGCAAGTTGAAGTCCCTTTTTTGCAATTTTATCTCCCGTAACGCACGCTTGTTCGTTGTTCGCTTTCGACACCCACTCGGCGACTTGTTAGTCCAGATCAAGGTGTTTTGGACCCTGGAAATTGATCGTTGCTTTGGATGACTCGGCCTTTATGTTATAGGCCTCGATTTTTCGTTTGTCCTTTAGGATTTGTCGAATGATCGTGATATGTAGCAATATTCCAAAATTGCTGGGCGACCCATTGCTGCATTTCAGTCAATGTTTTGGCTGCGTTAGCCGCATAGTACTCTCGAATCATATTCTTCTCGTGGATCGAGAGTCGTTTGTTTTGTTTGCGATTTCCCTTGCGGCACTGTTTCAAATGTCCAAATACAATGACCCAGTCAAGCTGATGCCTAGCCTCATAACCTCAGGTTTGAACATTCAAACCGCAGTGGAATTCAAATCGACCTGTGCAAATTTAATGAGTATTGTTTTATACGGAATATTCGATTTGACCAGGGAGCAAACCTTGGGGGACAACTGCACAGGGAACTACGCTGAATAAGACCGCTACACCTATCTGTGATTGGTCCTAGGGCATGAGAGTATTGTCCAATCAGGGACAACGGAGGTTTCAACAAAATTAAATTCAAATTTGAGCTCTGAATATAGATTCTGCAAGGTTATAAATAAATACTCGTGTATTGGGGTTGACGTGACGCCATGTTCTTGAGGGATATTAATTATTAAAATACATAATTCATTTGAAATTGCTGGGGATATATTTAACTCATTCAAATGGCTTTTTTAATTTTATTTGCTTTTTAATTGTATTTTAAAGGCCAAATAGTCTAGTGGTTAAGGCAGTGGTTTGCTAAACCATCAATTATTTTTAATAATTCGTGGGTTCGAATCCCACTTTGGCCTTTTAAAATAATATAATATATTTTATTTTATTAAGATGATGTAGTTCAATTGGTAGAGCGTAGGAATCATAATCCTAAAGTTATAGGTTCAAGTCCTATCATCATTAAATTAAAACGGGAGGTAGCATAGTTTGGTTAATGTACCTGTTTTGGGAACAGGAGATCATGAGTTCGAATCTCATCCTCCCGATAGGGAAAATAGTTCAATTGGTAGAATAACAGTCTCCAAAATTGTTGGTTGTGGGTTCAAGTCCCTCTTTTCTCGTTTTTATATTATATTAAAAAAATTATTTTATATAGAAAAAAAAATTATAAATTATGTTAAATATTATTTTAAAAATAGTTTTTTTAATTTTACCTTTATTAATAGCAATAGCTTATTTTACTTTAGCTGAAAGAAAAATACTATCCTCTATTCAACGACGAAAAGGTCCTAATGTAGTGGGTACTTTCGGTTTATTACAACCTTTAGCTGATGGTTTGAAATTATTTGTAAAAGAAACTGTATTACCAAGTAATTGTGATGTAGTTTTATTTATATTTGCACCTATTTTAACTTTTTTTTTAAGTTTATTAACTTGGGTTGTTATTCCTTTTGGTAAAGGAATGTCTTATGCTGAACTAAATATAGGTATTTTATATTTATTAGCAATATCTTCATTAGGTGTATATG